TGCAAATCCGTGAATGAATGTTCCGAAGTGAAGTAAACTTTAACTGATTTCCCTGTGCTCAGGGAGTAGGGCACAATAAACACTGTAATGGAACCCTGTCAATCAGAACACATCATGCATGGAGCTCTCTTCTAATCTGATCTGAATCAGGTGTGTTAAGTAAGAGAGACATGCAAAATAATCAGAGCAGTGATTTCTAATGTAAGTGTTTAAGTTTAAGAACTGGCAAAAGTGGCAATACTTCGCAATGGCTGAAAACGTCACAATGTGCATACTATCCATCCTAAATTCTATGTGATATTAGTAATTTTCAATACTATTTAGGGCAGATAGGGTGGCTAGTATGCACATTGGGACGCAGGGATTGTCAAGCTTTATAGCAGCCAAACAGGAAATGATCATAGCGGGAGCAGTAAACAGTCAGTACTCAGGCGAGGACTGAGCTCCCTCTGCTGGTGTGGTGTTGCAGAGGTCAGTAATGGCAGAATACAATAGTTTTGTCTAAGGTTAGTGACTAAACAGAAATTGACTTTTAAAAAGAAACCCACCCTGAGAAATATTAATTCTCTATAATGTTTATTCCTCTAAATAAACCACATATGAGTGCATGCATCCTGTTGAGATTTATTAAATGCTACAGTAATATCATCTTACTACAGTCTTAAAGACATGCAAAAAAGAGCAACTAGAGGGAACGTCCTGCACCATCCAGCTGCAGAAAAAAAGAAACAAAGAAACACCTAGTGAGATAAGATGGATCAATCTCTCTAGTGGTGACTTCATTCACAGGAGCAATGGGACGATCAGGACAAGCACAACAGGTCTAACAATGGAAGATGATGGATCATTAACATTTGAAAGTGTTAGTCTGAAGAACACCGGCAAATATACATACACTGTTTTTAATGCTGAAGGAACACAGATTGATGCTGGAGAAAAGGAAATTAACGTTTATGGTAAGATCACAAATATTTGTACCACCATAATTACAAAATAAGAGTCTCTACAGTAGTTACAGTAGTAGGAAATAACCATGTTTCTGTCACAGCAAAGGCTCCTAAACCTAATCTGACGTTTCAATTAGTGACGATGCTCTCCTGTGACGTTGGAAAGCGTACAGATCTGACTGTATCCTGGTATGTATAGATGGCAAAATCATCCAGAATGAAAAAAACCCAGTTCTGCTCTTGACATCTGCTCAAGTACAGCAGAATAAACCGTACACATGCACTGCAAGCAATCCTGTCAGCAGTAGGGAAAGTGACGGCATGACATTAACACATAAGTCGTTCTTATTTCATGTGCTTCTCTTTCTTCAATATATTGGCTTTATGTTATAATTATTTATTCATTATTTAATCTTTATCTTTTAAAAAATGCTCTTCAACAATCTAAATCATGATCTTTTGGGTTTTTTAATAGATTTGACCTTATACTGATGTTAAAAAAACCTAACATGTTCAGTTCTGGCTGATTACTGATCTATCAAATGACTGTGTGACTTTTAATGATTTCACTTTTGTTTTATTAAAATATGCACTGGTTGTTGGTCTGACTGTTTCCTGTTTTTGCTGCATGAAACAATGACAATAAAACAACAGTATTTTCCAACAACACATTGACTGTGCAGAACAGTATTAAAAGTGCACTGTAAAAAAAATGATTGTGATTTTAACAGTAAAAGACTGTAAAAATGCTACAGTAAAAACCTGTTAACTGGTTAACAGTAAGTTTCCATACTATAGTCGGTGAATAAATGTAATTACATTTAATGTAATTTTACAGTAAAATACTGTTAAAAATACGGTTTTTGGAAGTGAAAAAGAAAAAGTAATTGTATAATTTACAGTGAAAATTACCGTAGACATTATTGAACTGGTTTATGCCTTTTACAAACACACTCGAGATGCAAAGAGCAAATACAGAGGAAGTTCAGAGACAGAAACCACAAACATGCTGCATTGGGTTGGTCTTTCATTAAGCGTTCAGCATTTATTGCTGCTGTCTTGTGTGAGTTCATGGCAAATGTTCAATGTCATGGTCTGGTACAAACATGCAAGACTACCATCAAGACCACCATCACCACAAAGAACCACCACTGTATAATGCATGACAAATGAGACCATACCAGGTGATGGCAGGGCAGAGCTCAATCTCCCTCTCTAAATTGATGAAAACTTTAGTGTCTCTCCAAAAAAAAAATTATAATAATGCAAATAAGTCCTTGTGTGGAAGAGAGCATCTGAGGGTTTTAAAATTTGAATTAAAATTTCAAATTTCAAACTTAATTTCGAGAACACCCAAGAAACGTATTTTTCTGAAATGTTAAGTGTCTGAAAGGTTAAGTGTGTTTGTGCTGTCGTTCTGTCTTCTAATAGATTACACTTTCATTGATATTTTAATACCTAATTCTAATGCAATGACATTCAGATATTTTAAGCATGAATATATATATATATACTTGTTGAATGTAATTACAACTTCTGAAGAGAAAAGAGCAAACTACCTAACCACCAGCACCACCTAAACATAAAAAAATTATTTCAGAGATTTTCCTGTTTACTTGTTGAAATAAATCTTACCTTCAAACAGATCTCTCTCATAGACCGGATCACTGGTGCTCTCTCTCACTGCATTCTTGAGTGTGCATGTGTAGAAGACCTCTGGATTTCCTTGTTTTTCAACTTTGATAAGTTCTCCTTTCGGACTGTGGGGTGAGCCCTTCAGTGTTTCTCCAGCAGAATTCTTCCAGATGATCGTTTCACTGTACTTGCATATTAAATACACAGCATTAGGGTTCATTTCAATCTTCTCTATTTTTATCTCAGGTTTGGGGAGCGGTGCTGTGAAAGAAACAATGAAAAACTTCAGTGATGGTATCAGACTGTAATATCATAGCATTTTGATACAAATCATAACTTACAATTCTTGAGTGTACATGTGTAGAAGACATCTGGATTTCCTTGTTTTTCAACTTTGATAAGTTCTCCTTTCGGACTGTGGGGTGAGCCCTTCAGTGTTTCTCCAGCAGAATTCTTCCAGATGATCGTTTCACTGTACTCGCATATTAAATACACAGCATTAGGGTTCATTTCAATCTTCTCTATTTTTATCTCAGGTTTGGGGACCGGTGCTGTGAAAGAAACAATGAAAAACTTCAATGATGGTATCAGACTGTAATATCATAGCATTTTGATACAAATCATAACTTACACTAAGAAAGCATCATTGTATTATCATGTTTTGGGGCATGTACCATGGTATTCTTGGAAGTACTTCAGCACCATGGTATATATCACAGTACCATGGTATCATAATCTGATACCATCAGAGGAGGCTACCGTAGTACTGCCACAATGCAGTGACATATTATTCAGTGCAATACACGCAATTGCACAGAATGATTATCACATCTCCTGGTATTTTTACATGTTACTCCAAGGCATGTCAAAACACATGATAATACCTTGCTAACTCTTGTTAGCATAATAATAGTTTTTTTAATATATTATTACAAATAACTAAAACATATAACAATATGAAAATTATATTTTACACATACAAAGATTGTTAAAAAAAAGTTGACAGAATTATGAATTTAGGTAAATGGGTGCAGAGCCAGTGGTGGTTTTGTAGGCAAACATTAATGCCTTGAATTTAATGCGAGCAGCTACTTGGTAGCCAGTGCAAATTGATGAACAGAGGTGTGACGTGTTCTTTTCGACTCATTAAAGATTAATCTTGCAGCGGCATTTTGGATTAATTGTAGAGGTTTGATAGAAGTGGCTGGAAGACCTGCCAAGAGAGCATTGCAATAGTCTAGCCTGGACCGGACAAGAGCTTGAACAAGGAGTTGTGTTGCATGTTCTGAAAGAAAGGGCCTGATCTTCCTAATGTTGTATAAAGCAAATCTGCAGGACCGGGCAGTTTTAGCAATGTGGTCTGAGAAATTCAGCTTATCATCAATCACAACTCCAAGGTTTCTAACTGTTTTTGAAGGAGTTATGGTTGATGAGCCAAACTGGATGGTCTTTTAAAGCTATTAAACTGAACAAAACTGTTTGATGAACCATTTGCTATGTTCATACTTCCCTGAAGACGCTCTAAATCTCCTTCTGAATTTGAATGTTTACTTTAAATAAAAGTCTTAACACATTTTACTTTTGACAGACAATTTTATTCAGAATGATTGACATTATGTCCAGTGTATACTATTTTAGTAGTTTGTGCATTACCTGAAAAAATAAAAAATTTAAAAATCACACGATTAGAATTAAACAACTTTTTAACAGAAAAATTTAACAGAAGAAAAATGAATTTTTTACTTTCATCCAAATCTGGGTCAAAAGTTGAATCTTAATATAATCTTAATACAATACTTTAGTAGCTTATTTATACACAGTCACCAGTGCTGATTACTTGTTACATATTTTTAGGTAATGATGAGGTACTTTTAAATTACTTTTGACGTAACATGGTTTAACATGTTGATTTAAATATGATAATTCTGTACCATATTGATATAAAAATACAGAGAAAGAAAATATATTCCTTGTGTTGTTATTAACAACATGAAGTGCATTAAACATTACATTATGCCAAAATTTCCCAAACTGGGTTTTGTGAAGGAGCTGCAGGAAGTTTGTGAGTTTAATGAAAAGCCAATAAACAATTCAATCAAAAAAATTTAAAATTTGAATAATTTTGCAATCAAAACACCAGAATAGATGAAAGATTTTATTTGATTGCATGTGATGTGACCATTAACCAAGAGAACATGCAAATGTATGTAATTATTAACTTATAGGCCTACCTTAATCTCAGGTGGTACTTCAAGTAAATATATTAGGTGAAAGAGGTTCGGCTGACATAAAAGTTCCTGCATTAGGAAATAATGTGAAATTGTGCATTTTAATGTTTTTGAAAGACAAAAGCCTTCCAAAGACATAGCAATGGTTAATAACCCACTGAGTCATAATTCAATGTTTGTCAGTAGAAATGTTGAAATTTGAAGATGACACTTAAAATTTAAATGATTTCTGTAAATCTAGTGGTCAGATGTTGTGTGGCATCTCAATTTTCTGTGTAATTACATTCACCTGACTAGTGACTGGTCTTTGTGTGAATGTCCACAAACCGGAAAGACTTTTGAAATGTATATAAGCGGCAGGCTACTTTAGAAAGGTACAATTAGGGAGAACCAATAAATTGATGAAGTGAATAATTAATTTCTGCTGTGTAAATAATATGTAATCATCTAATCAATAAAAAAGTTATAGGTCTGATGGCGTTAATTTACTCGCTTCTCACAATATAATGCTGCCTATTTCTAAGGTGTTTTGCATACAGGATAGTATGCCTGTTGTTAAATTTTTACATGGCTGCTGCAACCATGAATAATCTGAAATTGAAACTGTAGTTGGAACATAAAGGGTGTTCAAAATTCTATTAAAAGAAAAAAGATTCTGAATTATCTGAAAAAAGAACAAGTTCATATTGCCTGTTTGCAGGAGACACACTTATGAACGAATAGTTTCACTCGTGAATGAACACGCCAAGTTGAAGCGAGACTGGGTTGGGCAAGTGTTTTGCTCATCATTTACTAGTAAGAGTAAGGGAGTGGCCATTCTTATTCACAAACATCTCCCTCTCTCAAATGTAAACATTCAGGCTGATAACTCAGGTAGATATCCTACTTAAAGGGATGCTTAGTGGAGTACCTGTTACCTAAATGAATGTATATACTGTATATACACCCCATTCAATCTAATGATTTTATTACACAAATCTTTTGTAAATTCCTTGAATGGCAGTGTTGTCACGGGTACAAAAGGAGGATTCAATTGCGAATGTGAAATATAACAGTTTATTAGGAAAAGGTCCCAACCAGACCAAAGGCAAGAGTCAAACAAGGCATGTGCAGGATATAGTCACTCTTGGTAGCGCAGGGACGCAAATGGGCACCCGTGGATATCCCGAGAACATACGATCCTTGGGGGCGAATCCTGGAACCGAATTCCAATGAGACGAAGGGAAGGAACAGAGAACTGAACACAGCAGGAACACCAAACGATCTGACAACACAGGACGGATAGCACAGGTGTTATATAGCTGAGCTGATGAGCTACAGCTGGCGCAGATCAACAATCAGCAGCAATCACCGACACACCCACTCACACACACATACACACAGAGCGAAAATTAGTCAGTGAACCCATGAACCGTGACAAGTGTGTGCACAGTCTAATTGCAGGTGATTTCAATTGTATTCTTTCACCTGAATTAGATAAATCCGTTCCATTGAAGGGAAGACGCTCTGGCAGGGCCTGTGCCCTGGACGAGACATGCCAGGAACTGGGCTTGGTAGATACGTGGCGGGTTCTACATCCTGGGGAGAGGGAATATACTTTTTTTTTCAAGAGTACACAAAACCAGCAGTAGAATAGACTATATTTTTTCACCCAAAGCCTTCATGATATACTGAACTGCGAGATTGGTAATATTGTCATATCTGATCATGCGGCTGTATTTCTTAAAGGGGTCATAGGATGCTATTTTAAAGATCATTATTTGGTGTATTTGGTGTAACAGAATATGTTGACATGCTTTAATGTTCAAGAAACACATAATTTTTCAAATACTGTACATTATTGTAGGTCCTCTATGCCCCACCTCTCTCAAACACGTCGTTTTCAACAAAGCCCCCTCCTTTGACAAGCACAGTCTGCTCTGATTGGCCAGCTGAACCAGTGCATTGTGATTGGCCGAACACCACAAGCACGAGTCGGAAATGTAACGCCCCTTACCATAATCGCGAGCTTCAGCTTTCAAAGTAAATATCAAGACAGTTAAAAATGTCGTTAGTTTTACCATCAGTTCAAGCCCGAAAGGGCAACAGAGTCGCGTGACAGACACAGAGATGATGCAGTACACAAGCCGCGGTTAAGACAGCTGACGTGCTATGATTTCTGACAGGCAGTTCACTCTCCTGTGATGTGACCCTGCTCCCCTCACACACACACACACACGACGAGTTACTCTGCGCTGCGCAAAACTCCGCATTTGAACAGTCAATAGCAAATACTTAAACTAATAACAAAACATACTTACAGTCGCTGATTCAGAAGCGCCAGATTGTCATAGCAAAGCTGGAACTGACCCTTTTTTTTTTTTTAGAAATAGCCTTTGTGCACAGCCAGCCTTGTACTCTTCTAGGTTCAAAAAACTGTCGTCCATAAAATGCGTTGCACAAATTCGAACATCTGGGTTGTGCTGTTCTGTTGTAAATAAATCTTAACCAATGATTCCTAATTGCATCTACTTCCAGAAGGCCAAATAAAGTGCTTTTGCACTGAATCACACAGTGTCTCCCTGACATGGCTGCATCAACACTACTGCTGTTCCTGAAACCACGCTTTCTTTCTTTGCGTGCACATTTGGGCAGCATTATGCTAATATTTCCACACAGTGACGAAGACATGTGGGGGCGTGTTAGAACGAGGTAGGTGTGGCTGACTCTGAACTTTTATAAAGAATATCTCTTTGGATTTGAGACTTTAGTCTTTGCAACTTTACAGATCTTCTTTATGCACCAAGAGCTTGTAACACTTCAAAGAGAAAGGAAAACTTGAAATCGCATCATATGACCCCTTTAACTTATCGCTTTCTAATGTCAAATATGATCTGCTGGCTTGCCTTGTTTGTACTTTGTATTATTATTATTATTATTATTATTTTAAATTTACATTTACATTTAGTCATTTAGAAGACGCTTTTATCCAAAGCGACTTACAAATGAGGACAGTGGAAGTAAGACCTTTTTTTAAGAAAACAAGCAATAAATGAATAGAGTGCAAGACTAAAAGGGACAAGTTTAAAAAAATGTTTTTAAAGAATAGAATTAGAATAGAGAGTGCTAGAGTTAGAGGGTCAAATAAAGATGGAAGAGATGTGTTTTGAAGATGGCTAAGGACTCAGCTGCTCGAATTGAGTTAGGCAGGTCATTCCACCAGGAGGGAACATTTAATTTAAAAGTCTGTGAAAGTGATTTTGTGCTTCTTTGGGATGCACAATAAAGCGACGTTCACTTGCAGAACGCAAGCTTCTAGAGGCACATAAGTCTGAAGTAATGAATTTAGGTAAAGGGGTGCAGAGCCAGTGGTGGTTTTGTAGGCAATGCCTTGAATTTTATGCAAGCAGCTATTGGTAGCCAGTGCAGATTGATAAATAGAGATAACTTAAATTTATAAACAGGGATAAATGATCCCTGTAATTGCCAAAAAAACGCCAAAAAATACCTGAAACAGCTTCTGTGGAGATGAACACAACGCAGATTGCGACCAATGGCAAGCATTGTAGAGACATTTTTGTTATACGAAGGACACGTTAATGCACTTTTATCCAGTATTTCTCCGAATGTCTTTTACACACCAAAGACACAAACAGAAACCGCAAGCATTGTGTTGGTCTCCATTATAACCAAGAAGCTCCCTACACTGTGCAGTGAATCTCATTTATATCGTGTGTACATTGTTTCAATGAGAGGATCGCAATCAGAGGTGTTTGAGAAATCAACAGATATGTCTGTGATTGGCTACACTGTGCTCAACGCTACAAAAACACGAACTAGGAACTTTCGATGCTCTCCAGACAGTGCAAACACAAACACGCACTGGAGAGTTGCTAAATTTGATTTGCCAATATCATATTATTACAGTTTTAACTGAGGGCTCTTTTCACTGCGTGCAAAACTGACGTGTGGCGTGAGAACAGTGTCAGCTGTGAATCTCACTGCATGCTTAAGAGTTTGCAGCCTTTATTTGATTGGTCTGCATAATCACTGACATCTTTAGTTGATGATTCTGCATAACCGCCAGCTCCCTGAATGCAAACTTTCTGTTCTCTTTTCTGTTTCTGTGAACGGAAGTTATTTCTGTCTCCTCGAGCTGGTTGTGAAAAGGTTCTGGAACATTTGCTGTTTTCAGAGGAGCAATGAGCTGCCAATACAGTCTCTTATTTTTATTCCTCTGTGGCTTTGCTGCGCTCACTGGTAAGTTATGGTTTCATTTTGTGTAGATATTTTAATGAACTGAACTAAAACAGCCCCTTTTGCAAATCTTACATGCAAACTGTTGCAGTTAGAGTTTGTGCACATCTGCCTTTACTAGAAGACACTTACAGAAAGTCAAATATATAGGGGAGACCGAACATTTCACCTTTTCATTCTACAAATACACAGTGGGAAAATATTCTTTAGATTATTAAAATGTTCTTCACGCTAAGAAAAAATGGTTCGGACTGAAAATGGTTTTGACTGGAAAGTTCTTTGGTGAACCATTTTTTTTTTCTAGGGCATTGACACGAAAACCTTTTGAAACATTTATTTTTTAGCTGTCTGACAGAGAATCCATATCTCAGTAGGTTTTGACTGAAAAGTCTTGTTTGCTAATTCAATCAAGCACTAATTTGTTGGTTTTAAACATCTAGTTCAAAACTGTCTTAAGTTAGAATTGATAGAATTTATATGCTGGATAAATAGGTGAACACAGATTTAAAGGCAGATTTGAACTTAAACATTGTACTGTATTTTCAGAACTTTTTTTTTTTTTAAATAAATGTCAGGTCAGGAACAATATGTTGTAATATTACACTTTTTTTTTTAAATTCCTATGTAGCCATAATGTCCATAATAGCCTATACATCTGACATTGTTGTAAGTTTATAAGGCTGTAAAGTAGCAGAGCCTCTTTATTTGAATAACCGTTCAGATGTGAAGTAGACTGGGGAATTAGTTTTTGGATCTTGGGTGTCGAAACAGACATGGTACACATGGTTACAGCCAGTGTCCGAAAACTATTCACTAGTTTGGGAGCACTCTAGGTTACAGACTTTACAACCTGTTGCCTCTTTCAGCTCGCGCCACCGAGTGTAAGCCGATATTGATTCGTGTTCGGGCTCGTGTCCGATCACTCTCTCTCTCTTTTCTTCGCTTCCTCCGACAAAACCCTCTTTGGTTTCTTTGCTGGCTCTGCCATGGCGTTGGTTTTGAGACCCAAGCTACGAGTAAAATATCCCTGTGTCCCAATGAGCATACTGTCCAATCTATCTGCCTTAAATAGTATAGAAAATGACTAATATCACATAGAATTTAGGATGGATAGTATGCACATTGGGACGCAGGCTATGTGAGGTATGCCGTAAAGCAGGTCGCACTCTTCCGCTTTAGCCGATAGGAGGCTGTTCAGGTAGCAGCGGCAGTAGAATTCGTCCGGTTAAGAGTTGGTCCTACCACTGAAATAATTTTAGAGACATTAAGGTCGAAAAACTACATAGTGTTGCTTTAAATCAACTGTATCGTTTTTATGGTCAATAATGGCAGAATAGAATATTTAACTGAGTTCAGCAGTTTTGTCTAAGGTTAATGTCTAATCAGAAATTGGCTTTTAAAAAGAAACCAACCCTGAAAAATCTGAAATAAATGCTAATATAAATTTATTTTCTTATAGTTGCAGAGATATGTAAAACAGAACTACTAGAGGGAACGTCCTGCACCCTAACGCTGCCAACAAGAAACACTGACAAATCTAATGAGATCAGATGGGCCCATACCACCAGTAACGCTATAATTGTGAGGAAAAATAATAAGAACAAATCAAACACTCCAGGTCTAAAAATGGAAGATGATGGATCATTAACATTTGAAAGTGTTAGTCTGAAGAACACCGGCAAATATACATACACTGTTTATAATGCTGACGGTACACGGATTGATGCTGGAGAAAAGCTCATTAACGTTTATGGTAAGTGGACAAATATTTATACCCTTCCACCATAATAACAAAATAAGACTGTAAATTTCTGTTGTTGTTCCAGTAGTAGGAAATAACCACGTTTCTTTCACAGCAACGGCTCCTAAACCTACTCTGACAGTAACCATCAAGTGCAAAGATGGGAACGCTACACTCACCTGTGACATTAGAGACCGTACAGATCTGACTGTCTCCTGGTATAAAGAAGACAATATCATCCAGAATGAAAACAACCCAAAACTGCTCTTGACATCTGCTCAAGTACAGGAGAATAAAACGTACTCATGCAGTGTAAGCAATCCTGTCAGCTATCATCAAAGTGACAGCGTTACAGTATCATGTAAGTCAGTTTTTATTTTACATGCTTCTCATTCTTCATTGAGTTTGTTTCAGTTTTTAGGATTTTTAACAGCTTAAAATAGATTAATGATCGACTTGTTTGTTACTGATTTCATCACATTTGTTTTTGTCTTACAGGTCCTACAGGTGAAGGTGACCCAGGTCCTCCTAAACTCTTTGGCTTTGATTTCTGGATCATGGTGAGCATTTTGGCAGGTTCAGGAGCCCTTCTGCTGCTGCTGATATGTGTTCTTTTGTTCTCTAACCAACGCAAGAAGCACCAAAAAGGTAAGAGATGTCTTCATCACCTCTGAAATTATACTGTATGAGCATTTGTATTTTCAACTAAAGCAGGGGTGTCAAACATACGGCCCGCGGGCCGAACACGGCCCACAGAGGTGTCCAATCCGGCCCGCAGGATGATTTAAACAATATTATAAAATAACAAATAAAACATAATTTTGAAAATTAAATAAAGTGTATTCGCTACAATATTTTACTTTGAGTTTAAAGCGGAACAAATGGCTCATTTATTTACGTTGATATTATGCCTGCGTTGTAACTGATGCTTGTGGGGCCATTTTCTGGTGATTTTAAACATGTCCAAAAGAAGAAATTTGTCCTGGAAGGGCGGACAGGCTATTTAAGGAGAAATGGAAAGAAAGTAATCTCAACGCCGACAGGTATGTTTAATCACAACTCGTGGCTGTGGTAAATGTGTGCAATAGTAAAGGACACTGTGACGCACTGGACAGCTTCGCATGGAGAAAGTAAATGAGCGAGGAGTGTGCGATATTTATTGTGTACTAATATCCTAACTGTTGTTTTAATGATGTGCGAGCTGACATTTTGTAACTTTGCAAAAAAACAAACAAAGACATCATGAGAGTTTTTCAGTGCAGGATGAAGGCTATCAGTTTACAATATAATTCAATATATGAGGGGAAAAATAAAATGCCCTGTAAGAAATTTAGTTTTTAATATTTATGTCGTGATAGTTAAGTAATGTCTAACTATATCAAGAGTGTTGCTTTCCCGAATGTCAGCGCGATCGCAAATGAATAGATTTTATATAACAGCTCAACAAACAAGATGCTAGTATTAAGTGTGTTATATTAGTCACAATGCTGTCTGTTTATCTCTGTTTTGGCAAGAAAATTTTTTTAACAAGAGGCAGCACTGTGTATTTTGTTACTGAATTAATCTGTGTTTTTGAACAAATTATTTGAGTCAATGATTCAGTGGCCCATTCATAAAGACAATCACTAGCTTAGTTTCTAAAGGAATCAGCCGTTTTGAATGAATGAGTCAATGGATCACTCATTAAGACGGAGACTTGCTGCCACCTACTGGCGGCTTTAGTGTCATATTTATTTATCCATGACAGGCTTAAACCAACCAAGGTGCTATCTCAAAAACACACTCTGCAAAATATGGTAATTATCACTATAAAAAAAAAAAGACATTTTGTGTCAATTGCACACCCCTAAAACAACCAAGCATCATCTTTAAAAAAAAGTTGTCCTAGATTTTTTTTTTTATTATATTGTAGTTTGTATGGTTAATATTAATGTAATTGTGAGCAAACTAGGGTTTAACAAAAAGTAATTCGGCCCACACAAGGGGACATTTTCTCCGATCCGGCCCTCAACCTTAAATGAGTTTGACACCCCTGAACTAAAGGGAAACTGATCAAACTATGAAGCTGTCGCTGTTCTTGTTAAGCTTTAAAAGTTCACACCACAATCATTAGCGTATTTAAATGCCAAATTGTAAACTTACATTTATTAATTTAGCAGATGCTTTTATCCAATGCTAAATTATAGTAGTAGTATAAAAATATATAGTCAGGTAAATACAATTTTAAATCACTGGAATGAACCTATAATGGAATTTTCTGAAAAATGGGTTATTTGTTGCAATTACCTTTACATTTACCATTTACATTTATTCATTTATTGACTTACATATGAGTAGCAATCAAAACAACAAAAGAGCAACAATATATGTGTTGTGACAATTTTTTAATAATAAATAAAGAGTGAATAGAAAAATAGAGAAAATTAAAAAAGTAATAAATAGAAATAGAAAAATAAAAAGCATACAGAAAATTAATTAGTAATTATTATAATTATTTAATAAAATTCACCTGCAGTTAAACAGGAAATTCAAAGGCTTTTACCACAGATTCCTGTAGTCTATTAGATTTTAGTAAACAGATCGAATCAAGCTCCACTTAACATCCTGTTTACAGACGTAATGTGTTTTTCTGGGGCATTTAACAGAACAAACACCAAAACAGGTTTTCTAAGAACCCACACTTTCAAAAGTGTTTAATTATAATTATTTTTTCATATTGATTCATTTGCAAATTATTTATAATTTAGTGAATATTATGTAAAAATTCACTGCAGCTTGTGTTATTTACTATCTTTAAATTAAATTGTGGAAATTGTGATATAATTTATACTTTTAGATATATATATTTATACACTTGTTAAAAAATATTTATTATTAAACATCAAAGACCCATGAACATTTTTAATGTGTTCTTAAATTATTGAAATATTGGCAATAATGGCAATTTTATGAACATCTTGTCTTTGATATCGATCGAATCAAGCTCCACTTAACATCCTGTTTACAGACGTAATCTGTTTTTCTGGGGCATTTAACAGAACAAACACCAAAACAGGTTTTCTAAGAACCCACACTTTCAAAAGTGTTTAATTATAATTATTTTTTCATATTGATTCATTTGCAAATTATTTATAATTTAGTGAATATTATGTAAAAATTCACTGCAGCTTGTGTTATTTACTATCTTTAAATTAAATAGTGTAATATTATTTATATTGGAGATACTGGATATAGGATTACACCAAGATATTGGCACTGGCCATCAAAAAATAAAAAATAAAATAAATCAGTAGACCACTACATGGAAATTATAGGGGTTTCCCAACTGGGGGTTCTTGAGTTGATGGAAAGCTAATAAATAATTAAATTGCATGAAAATTGAAAACGGGCAAGCATAATTAATTGAAATCAAATGGAAATTGTGATATAATTTATACTTTTAGATATATATATTTATACACTTGTTAAAAAAGATTTATTATTAAACATCAAAGACCCATGAACATTTTTAATGTGTTCTTAAATTATTGAAATATTGGCAATAATGGCAATTTTATGAACATCTTGTCTTTGATATCTTTCAGATGAGAGGGAGTTCAGGCTGAGGAATCTTCAAGCTCCAGCTCCTACCAAAACAGATCCAAACACAGCGGAAACATCTGATTACAAATGACAACCTGAGTGTTCATACTTCCCTAAACACACATTAATCACCTTATGAATTTTAATTTTTGTTCAGACAGAGAGGCCAAAGAGAAACAAAGTCATAAGAGCTCCAGTTGGGCTTTAGAGGATTCATGATGAGCAGAAGTGTGTGGCTGATGCAGCATCTAACATTCGCGTATCAGTTAAAAAAAAAAGACATTTTGTGTCAATTGCACACCCCTAAAACAACCAAGCATCATCTTTAAAAAAAAGTTGTCCTAGATTTTTTTTTTTATTATATTGTAGTTTGTATGGTTAATATTAATGTAATTGTGAGCAAACTAGGGTTTAACAAAAAGTAATTCGGCCCACACAAGGGGACATTTTCTCCGATCCGGCCCTCAACCTTAAATGAGTTTGACACCCCTGAACTAAAGGGAAACTGATCAAACTATGAAGCTGTCGCTGTTCTTGTTAAGCTTTAAAAGTTCACACCACAATCATTAGCGTATTTAAATGCCAAATTGTAAACTTACATTTATTAATTTAGCAGATGCTTTTATCCAATGCTAAATTATAGTAGTAGTATAAAAATATATAGTCAGGTAAATACAATTTTAAATCACTGGAATGAACCTATAATGGAATTTTCTGAAAAATGGGTTATTTGTTGCAATTACCTTTACATTTACCATTTACATTTATTCATTTATTGACTTACATATGAGTAGCAATCAAAACAACAAAAGAGCAACAATATATGTGTTGTGACAATTTTTTAATAATAAATAAAGAGTGAATAGAAAAATAGAGAAAATTAAAAAAGTAATAAATAGAAATAGAAAAATAAAAAGCATACAGAAAATTAATTAGTAATTATTATAATTATTTAATAAAATTCACCTGCAGTTAAACAGGAAATTCAAAGGCTTTTACCACAGATTCCTGTAGTCTATTAGATTTTAGTAAACAGATCGAATCAAGCTCCACTTAACATCCTGTTTACAGACGTAATCTGTTTTTCTGGGGCATTTAACAGAACAAACACCAAAACAGGTTTTCTAAGAACCCACACTTTCAAAAGTGTTTAATTATAATTATTTTTTCATATTGATTCATTTGCAAATTATTTATAATTTAGTGAATATTATGTAAAAATTCACTGCAGCTTGTGTTATTTACTATCTTTAAATTAAATTGTGGAAATTGTGATATAATTTATACTTTTAGATATATATATTTATACACTTGTTAAAAAATATTTATTATTAAACATCAAAGACCCATGAACATTTTTAATGTGTTCTTAAATTATTGAAATATTGGCAATAATGGCAATTTTATGAACATCTTGTCTTTGATATCTTTCAGATGAGAGGGAGTTCAGGCTGAGGAATCTTCAAGCTCCAGCTCCTACCAAAACAGATCCAAACACAGCGGAAACATCTGATTACAAATGACAACCTGAGTGTTCATACTTCCCTAAACACACATTAATCACCTTATGAATTTTAATTTTTGTTCAGACAGAGAGGCCAAAGAGAAACAAAGTCATAAGAGCTCCAGTTGGGCTTTAGAGGATTCATGATGAGCAGAAGTGTGTGGCTGATGCAGCATCTAACATTCGCGTATCAGTTGTTTCTGAGGGGGAAAAAATATTTTTATGTATACTATAAAACATACAGTCATGATTTTCCACAAAGAAATTAAATAAACTTACTCTCGTAAATCTTGGGTCTTCCACAGCAAGCAGCACAATAATCTTATAGAACAAGAATAACAGTGACACACATTTACAGTCAACATGAAATCATAACCAAGCCTGTTTCCTTCATTAATAGATGTAGTGTGAGTTATTCATGGGATTATGTTATTCATAAATGGTTAGAATTTTTGTTTTGAGTTTTGAGTAAATGATAAGCACAGAATGGAAACACGCTTCAAATGCTTTAAGAGATTAAACACAGTCTTACCGTGAAAAGGAATTTTAATAAGAAAAAGGATGATAATAACCACAGTGATCAAAGAAATGGCAATTGCAACGACAAGATTTGTGTTCAAATCTAATGAAGAGAAGAAAAAAAAACATGTCATACTTATGAAACAAATCCAGTCCTGTAATATGCATTTAAATGGTCAAAATTAGGTTAGTAAATAACATTATTGCCATAATTTAGAATTGTTTTTTTTTTTTTACATATCTACATACTGATTTATGTTGTATGGAGTTTCTTCACTGTCTTACCATTAAACAGATCTCTCTCACAGACCGGATCACTGGTCGCTTCACTCACGGCGTTCTCGAGTGTGCAGGTGTAGAAGTTTTCTGGATTTCCTTGTTTTTCAACTGTGATGAACTCTCCTTTCAGATGGTGCTTTGAGCGCTTCAGTGTTTCTGCGGCAGAATTTCTTCCAGGCGATCGTTTCACTGCACTCTCATATTAAATACACAACATCAGGGTTACTGCTCTTCTCTGTTTTTATCACAGGTTTAGGGACCCGCTCTGTGAAAGGAACAATGAAACAAGTATGAAAATCCAGTTCACAAAGAAAATAAAATGAAATGAAAAACAACTACAGCCTCGGAAAAAGTGTTGTGGCCATGGTACAATGATGGTGTCAGATACGACTGTTGTTTTACTTTGGTACAAACTATCACTAACCTAAAAGTTTATACTGTAATGCTACAGTGGTTTTAGGACATGTACCATGGTAGTACTGTGTTATTCATGGAAGTACAAATATTCACTCACCCAACACTTCCAGTTTATACTGTAATGCTACAGTGGTTTTAGGACATGTACCATGGTAGTACTGTGTTATTCATGGAAGTACTTTGGAGTACCATGTAAACACAATATTTCAAATTACCAAGGTGTTATTCCTGTATCTGAAGTTAGCTGTATCTGGAGTGAACTGAATAAATGTAATGACAAATATTCACTCACCCAACACTTCAAAGTGGAATCTGTGTTCCTGCTCTTTACTGTTGATGTCGATGGAATAAAGTCCACTATGTTTGACATTTAAATCATGTATAGCAATTTCTCCAGACTCCTTATCAAGAGTTGTGATGTCTTTGAATCTCTGATTCGGGATGGAAACACCATCATCAACATCCCATTCAATCGCATTGGCAAGAACTCCACTGCTGTTTCTGTGTTTCCATATAATGCTGCTGACAGGAGGATCTATTCTGTTTGTACGAAAACACACAGCTTCACCCACTGCTTTCTTCACTTCTTCATCTAATGAATGAAACATGGAAGTTAGTCAACATTCAACAATCAAGTTTATTCCAGTTGGTGAATTTCTATACTGGAAGTGAACTCATCAATAACGATAATATCAATAAGAACCTAAAAGTAACATGGAATTTGGACATAATGCCATCAGCAGCCATTAGCCATTAACTTTATGATACACGGATATGGTAATATAAATCAAATACCAGGGTATAACGAAAACAGTTGTGGATCTATTTACATAAAATACACGGGAATCGTTTAATATTTGTTAATTAGACTATTTTTTGTGAGCAAATATTTATTAAAAGAAAAGAACAACAAAATATCACAAAGCATTTTAAACAGCCAAAGGGAAATATACATGTAGCCTATATCAAAGACATTACACACCCATGCATTAATACAAAATAAACAGTTATAAAAAGATAAAGAAAAAAAATAAGGGGTACCCACACACAAACACATAGGGGAATTACTCATGTTCTGGAACTCCAATTAAACCAACTTAAAATACAGGTAAAGAGAAGAGATCATCTCAACCAGGTTTTCAGTCAAAGGGCCTTTCATTAGCACCATTTACTCGAGCAGTTCTAAAAAAAAAGTACATCCAAAAAATGTAAGAATCCAGCATTTAACAGAAAGAGAATGAGGAGGTTTCCATCTTAATGCCATCATCTTTTTAGCAGCTATGAGGCCAGCTAGTTGTTCTGATTATTAATATTCAATATTGTTAACTTAATAACAAAACAGGGGCAGTTACAGGTACATTTGTTGAAACCAGATCAGACATTCTTGATAGTTAATTAGACTTATAATTATAAAGCTGCTTTTGAATCGCCAAGAACAGACACCATCTCATCTTCGACAAAACAATAACAGCGTTCCTGAAGCGCAGCTTCGGTGGTGATGAACACAACAACGGTGACCAACGTCAAACAGTGAAGTGACATTTTTGTTTGGCTAAGTACACTTTTATTCACTGTTCTTCTTTATTTTGCTCAAAGACGCAAACACGTCTAATCGCAGTCCCAAACACGTGGATAAAGAGGAAAACAGGAACTGAAAGGAAGACATGCGGTTGGTCTTTTACCAGCAGTAGGCTACATCCCACATAAAAAATACTATAGTAATTTATAGGAAATTCTATAGTGTTTTAAGCATACTATAGTAAAGTATATTATACTGTATATATTATAGTATTATAACTGTTAATTATACCCTATAGTTGTAGAAAACGTAGGACAGTATTGGGTAAAGTAATTTGTTTATATTACTATAGTTGTTATATTACCACAGCAACTATAGAATTACCACAACAAATTAATTCAAGTAATTTACTATAGTATGGTTCAAAAACACTTTAGTATTTACTATAAATTATTATTCCATGGTCTGTCTGAATACTGGATTCTGATTGGCTGGCAGGTATGCATTAAAACCGTTTAATGCACAGGTAGTTCCAAGTCAGTTTAATCACCGTTCTATATTAATGCGCTGCTTTAATTGATGCACACAAACCCACACGCACATCACTCACACACAAACACACACACAGAGAGAGAGAGAGAGATTGCGCTGTGCACACACATAAACTTATTGTCAATGCTTCGCCGCGATTTTCATTAATAAAATAGCCTAGATACTAGATCGCTACATTAGCCTATATTCCTTAGCAACGAGGTGTAAAGTCGCTGTTTTGAAGTAATTAATAATTGTTTGTAGAGAGACGCACAGACGCAGGTACACTCTTAAAAATAAAGGTGCTTCACGATGCCATAGAAGAACCTTTTTGTCTAAATGGTTCCATAAAGAACCTTTAACATCTGAAGAACCTTTCTGTTTCACAAAAGGTTCTTTGTGGTGAAAAAAGGTTCTTCAGATTATAAAAAGATAAGAAAGAGACGGTTCTTTAAAGAACCTTTGACTGAATGGTTCTTTGT